TAGCTTATGACCAAGCAGCATTTTCAATGAGAGGGTCATTGGCTACTCTCAATTTCCCAATAGAAGTCGTCCGGGAATCGCTTCAGGACATCAAGTATCGATGCGAGGAAGGTTGCTCTCCTGTTGTGGCTCTGAAGAAAAGGCACTCCCTTAGGAAAAGGTCAAAGAACAAGAAAAGCAAACAAAACGAGGCCGCAAGGCAACAGCAAAATTTGGTGGTGTTGGAGGATTTGGGGGCCGACTACTTGGAACAACTTCTAAGTTCATGTTAAACGGCTGCTCCTAGGTAAAATTCTTGCCATGAGGCAGGGGGCAGGGCCTGTTCATTGCAATTTATTTATTCCAATTCATTCTAGTTGTTTTCTTGATTTTATTTGAATCTCGGAGCTGTCCGATTTTTCTTGGGGGGTTGATTAGAGGGCTGTTGAATCTTGTTCCATAGTTCATCTTCTCTGATTTTGGTTTTGGGTTTTTTTTTTTGTTTGTAAAGTTGAAACTTGAAAATGATGAAAATGTAAAAAATTTCACCTTTATGTTATCTGCCTCAATTATTGCATTCTAAACCATGGGGGCAAGATTTCAAGTGCTTTACCCTTTATGGCCGACTTTATATTGTTTAAGGATTGTGGACTAGGTTTGCAAAAACCCAAAAGAATTCTATCTGGAAGGATTCAGACAAAACAAGGCCAATGAGTTATTTTATGTGGATTACAAGGTTGAATGAAAGCCACTAGATCCGCGGAAATCTAACTTTCACATTGGGCTTTACAATATCTAAGTAAACAGCGGTTAAAATATGCTACTTCTACTAACAGTGTTCTATAAACTAGTGAATCAGTGGAATAATGCCTCATGGACATTGGATTTCACAATTTTAGAGTTGCTAAAGGTTCAATTTTTCTTTTAAAAAATCACTCTTCGATTTACATCATAAGAAGTGGAGACCGGGGGGCAGAGAGTTGTTCAAGATTTCAATAGGAAAGGAATCTTTCAGAACAAGGAGAAAAAGGGAAAGAAGAAAAATTGTAATTAGCACAATTTGCATTATTTCTATTGACGTCTGCTTTTTCAGATAGACACAAACAAGCACTAGGCAATGAAATTTATCCGAAATTAAGAAATTAAAGATAGATTCCGTGAAGTATCATTAGCATTTCTAAATAACGAAGACATCAGCAAGCAATTTGTCACTGGTGCTGCAACACAACGCTTTATATTATCTGCTTGTAAGAAACCCAACGGAGCAATTCTAGTTTGTTGTAAACAAATTGTTATAAAATGTAAAGGAAGAATCTAAGCATCTTCCTTTTTTTTTTTTTTTCACACCCATAACCGAACCCTCTTTCCCCATCACTAATTTATTTCATTCAATTTTCTAATCAGATAGAGACAAATTCATTTCAGAGAATTCATGTGATCGGCTTGTACATGGGAAACGACGAAAGGACACTGCTCCACCACCAGTTGCTCGATTTAGAAATGAAACGACCACGACATATTAGCTGTCGTCATTATAATATGAAGCATGCGTTTCCCTCAATTAAATGTGAGAAATTAAAGTGTTGTTATCCGAAATCAAATCCAAATTTGCATTTATATGTCATGTAAATAGCTATAAAAGGACATTCAATTCTTCCAAACCTCACCCTGGGAGTCAACAAATTAAGTTTTAGCCCTACGCTTGTTGGACAGCCAATCCTTGGCCAGAAAAAATTAAAAAAGAAAAAACAAAGGTTGGACAGGCAATTGACGCAACCTGGCCAATTGACAAATCTTGCTTGTAGCAAACGGTTCTTGGAGTCGTGAATGGAGGTGTCAAAAGTCTAATCAGATGAAGAACCTTTTTTATGCCGTGCAAGTTCTAAATTAACACGCATGAACCCTAAATAATCGTACTTGATTATACGAGACAAAGGAAAAAGTTGAAAATGAAACTCGTCCATGATAACATCCCAGTCGCCCTGTTGTGAGTAAGGAGGGGATCAGCTGGCGAAGGCAGGGCTGGGCAGACACCTTTTGCTTTTATACTTCAACTCAGATTTGGCCCCTGAGTTCACATTCCTTTCAAAACCTAAACTTAAGAGCCCTCGGTCGAATCTCCACAAGGTTAATTTACTTGACACTTTGTCGTCCGATGGTTAGTCCTTCCACAACATGTCGTTTCCAATGCCATCTTAATTGCCCTGATGCTGCAATGAATATAATGTTTTCTTTCCTCTTTTTGCGTTTCTATATTGATTCTGAATGAATCGGGCAAACAATTTGCCACTGATTCTGCGACATAAATCAGTTAGTGAGAACCCAATACGACAGCTGCCAAACCCTAGTGTCAACAAACAAAGAAACTACTATAATATAAGGAAAGGAAACTGAAGAACCACTTCCCATTTATTATTTTTTCCGCAAGTCAGAAACAGACAATTGCAGGAATTTCAAAGAATAATTTTTTTGAACAAGTATATCATAAACAACCACAACTCCTCCCTTAACAATTGCCTTAGGTTGAATTTAGAAATTAAATCACCACGGCAGACTAGCTGTCGTTTTCATAAAATGATCAGACACATGTTCGTTTCTTTACCATTTATTTTCTCTTCTTTCTTAAGTAAAATAGAAAAGCATTATGATTTAATCAATTTGATATCCAAAATCACCTGAAATATCAAGTGAGGCTTGCGCCACCTATCGGATCCTTCACATAGTTCACTATTGGTTATGGTTAAATAACATGTCAAGGTGAAAAAGTTGAGAACCAATACGGAGTTGATAAATCTTTATTTTAAATCCTGAATTCATGTGTAAAGATTAAAACATTAAATTATCTAATTATTATTGTTTATCTATTTGAGTCATTGAGGTAGTCATTATTCGTAGTGGAATAACAAATTTATTTAGTCGTTGAGGTCTAATCAAGGATAGGTCTTTCTCTTCGCTATTCTCTTTTATTTATGGCGATTCACAATGGATAGATACAGTACTTGGAAGGAAAGAGGAATATATATAAACCATAGAAGCCTCCCATTAAAAATTTATTGGGTTAAGACCTATATAATCACCAAACTATATTGATCCAATTAGACATGTAAAGTTCATCATTAACTAATTATTTTAATATTAATTAGTCTTTCATACTTTGTCTTACAATAAGACTAAATTATCAATTTATTTTATTAAACCAAAATTATCAATTAATAATAGCCCACAAAATAGAAAATTTTAACATTCTCCTCTTGGGCAATATTATTTGGAGTTTATTTTGATTTTAAGAAAACACTTTAGAAAAACAAGACTCCAAATTGATTGATTTAATTTTGATGTGGCCACAATTTAAAAAAAAAATTAAAATGTCTTAATGATTCTATCCAACAGAAACATCTAATATTGAATTGTGGTAGTGATTATGCCACTTATTGACATACGATCAATCCATAATTACAAGTACGAGTGATCTTATCATCAATGGATCTCAATGTGGTTGTGTAGTAAGAAAATAGCTCCCAAATGTACTCCCAATGTACTATGTTCATTATCGATCCTCTTACTGATTTCTCTAAACCTATTGAGAACACTTAAATGATATTGTTCTCTTTGACACATTAGGTCTCATGATTTTATTCTACAAAAAGTGTCTCACAAGTTGAAGATGATGTATACACTTAAATATCGAGTCTCAATCTAGTACATAATCAATATGAAATTTATGACTCTCCTCTAGGACGATGACATCCTCTACTCTCTTATACTCTAATGAGGACCCATTATCCTTAATGGCATATTGCTAATACCTCATATCCACTTTGATACTAACTCATGTCATGGTCTACACCAATTTACAAAGTATTATTCGCTTTAGCCAATAAATGATAATATTTCTACATATATATATTATAATATCGATCAACTTATGGCATTAAGGATTGTTTTTGTCTTAATTTGCTGATTAGCTTCTCACGATAACGAAAATGTTGACCGGTTTGCTATACATACTCATCACTTTAATGATTTGCTACATAGTCTTGATCACATGCCGAGGCCTTAAAAAGTAGAGGGTTGAATTTTCACTTGAAAATAGATGTGAAGTACTAAAGTTTCTAAATAAAATCTATCACAATCATAATTTAATTATAGATAAAAAAATTTGTCAATTTACTCTAACTCGTAAAATTCATTTGATTTGTCCAAATTCTAATCCAACCCAATCCAATTTGATTAGAAATATTTAACAATTCAAAAATTTTCAATTCAAAATATAAAATGACTTAAATTTGATTCAAATTAAATTAACTCGAATTCAAAATAACCTAAACCTAGACAATCAGAGTAACTAATTCAAAATGATATGAATCTAAATAATTTGTTCCAATTCAATTTAATTTGAATTTAAAAAAGTTATAATCTCTAAATGATTGAAATGCAAATAACTCGAATATCATACTTAAATAATGAAATACAAAATGACTTGATTTCAACAATAATTCAAATTTCATTCGATTTAAAATAACTCAGTCTGAAAGTAATCCAACTCAACTCACCCGACTCTAAATTGTATAGTAGACTGCATCTAGAAGCTAGGGCTCAACCCGACTAGTAATGAAGGAATATTCTAATATTTATGAAGCAGCCTGTCTGTCAGTATATATTACTCTAGTAACATATATAACAAGTCTAAACTCTTCAGGGATAAGTTGGTTTTCTCTAAGGAAAAACAAAACAGAGTTTCAAGTTTTAAAGACGAGAGCATACATAACATGTCATCCTAATTAGACAGAGAACTTGATTCAAGGTCGATTTTATAAAAACCAATCACCAAATCTATCAGTTGAATTTTATTACCATTTGAAGTCGTGGTTGATTTTTTTATGGTTAATATTCATGTTTAGACTCTCTCTCTCTATATAGTTATTGAGGGGGTGGGGGGGTGTTAGAGAAATAGGAATTTTATTTAAACTGATTGTTGTGACTCACATGTTATGTTAACGGGCTTCTTTGGAGGTTGTCCTTTAAACCAATACACATCTGATCTAGCTAAAAACTAAACCAACTTATAAAGCAAGCGTTAGCAACTTCATGATCAGCTTATCCCTCCAAGATATGGATTCTTCCTTCCTTGAAAGCCTGAATTCAGAGTTCCTGCTAGAATCTCAGCAAGATTTGTTAGAATCTTTCTCACCGAATAATGAGCTTTTCCTCGACCAAGATTTCCTTTCATTTGACATTATAGACTCCAAAGAGTTGCCTTCCCAAGATGCTACTCTTTGTCATCATGGGTCAAGAGAATCATCAAACTCTTCCTGTGGATTAATTGTTGACGAAGAACATGTAGTTTCCAGTGCCAAGAAACGAGAAGAGCAACAACCCAAGGAGGAAAAATCATACAGAGGGGTAAGGAAGCGACCTTGGGGAAAATACGCGGCGGAGATTAGGGATTCAACAAGGCATGGCATTCGGGTTTGGCTTGGAACATTTGACAGCGCAGAGGCGGCTGCTTTAGCTTATGATCAAGCAGCCTTATCGACACAAGGGCCCAAGGCTGTACTCAACTTTCCTGTTGAAAGAGTCCGGGAATCGCTTCGGAACATGAATTACTACTGCAAGGATGGCGCCTCACCGGCAGTAGAACTAAAGCAGAGGAATTATGTACAAAGAACATCAATGGCCAGGAAAAATAAAAAGAAGCAGTCACAAGCGAAGAATGTGGTCGTCTTAGAAGATTTAGGATCTGAATATTTGGAAGAACTTTTGAGCTCATCTCAAAGTACTAGCTCTTGTTAAAAGAAAAATTAGCTTGTTGAATCTGTCATTTGCAACAATGTCTGGTATCATATGCCTGCCTTGCTTGCCACCATGATTTGTTTTTTCTTTTCTTCTTATTTATGCAATAATTACCAAGATAGAGGCAGTCACAGATTTTTCATTCCATCGAGTTTTTTTTTTTCGGTGGGGGATGAAGCAAATTTGATTGAGAAGAAGAAGAAAAGGATGAAGAAAAAAAAAAAAAACCAGAGCACTCCAGTGATGGCTTTTTTCTCCAGCCCGGTGCGGCGCATTGTTGGTGGATAAAACTTGAATGTTTCTCTTATTTCATTCCAATCCTGATGAGAAGCTTATTACTCGCGCTGGTATCTATTGGAATGCTAAGTTGAATCTATTTGATTCTCCTTCATAACTAGCCAACTTTGATTCGGACTGGGTACTACTGGATTTTACTTTTCTCTTCATAGCAAATTACTATTACATGTAATTAGGATATAATATTATGTAATAATTGGCTTAATATATTTAGATGCAGGGGAACGTCATACCTTATCAATAGAGTGAAAACTACTAAAATGCCAATTGATCCAATAGAGGTCACTATAAACATAATTTATTTAGGACACTAGAAACGTTGCTAATTAATTCAGGATGACTCATTATAGTACACCCATACCCATTTCACTTAAATAGAAATAATAATTTTGATCCTAAGTTATGGGCAAAAGAGGTCCAGTCAAACAAACATTTGGGAAAAGGACTTCCGTCATAATTGTTACTCATTATTATAAGAGAAGCCACGACCACATTTCAAAGTTCTAAGTTCAAACGTGGCAGCTTGCTACTGTCATGCTTGCTGCTAGTCAAGGTAGTCAGTGACCTCATCTTTTTCTTTTCTATTAGTATGAGCCTCTCGTTTTGGTCCAGTGAAAGCACACAAACGTTTAACGGTAGTCGTTTATCGTAGTGTATCTTTGTGCTTTGGAGTCAAGTCGTTAAGATTAAAAGCGATGAAGCAAATTAAACTAGGAAAATGAGAAAAGGTGGTGCTGCCAACTTTGTGCTAACCCAACCCGGTGCCAACACTATATATCTTCAAACATGGAAATCCTTTTTTCCTGGGGTTGGAATTGTCAACTGAACCCACGTACTGTGTATTTTCGATAACATTTTCCCCGTGTTGATCCCCACAGGCGTCAAATCTCAACGGGATGGCGACTGGCGTAATAGAAAGAAGTTGAACGTGTCAGGAAAAGCAGAAACGGTGGAGATGGACACAAACCAAAAAGGAGTTTGGTTTGACCAATGAGTTAATTCCAAATCTCTTTTTAAAAAAATAATTCCACATCCCATGCTCCATACTAATTTTCCAGCAGATTTTCTGATCACGGCATTGTATTTACGTGTTTAAAAATTAATCCAGCTGGAGATTAAGAGACAGGCCTAAAAATAAAAATACATACTCATCATTTTTTAATAAAAGGGTATTGGAATTATTAGCATCTTCTTCCGAATATAGCGAAACAACATGATCAGCATTAATGTGTCCCTACAATTGTCAATCAAAACCGTCTACCTATCAAGTTAGCATTAATTCATTTCTTCCCTTGTGCCTTTCTTGCGCTTGACTAAGTTGCTTCTTGAGCTGCCATTTTCATGCCATGTGGCGCTTTCTAAATTTAATTATGCTATCTGAAAAGAAAGCAGGATCGGTTGAGGTGGTGCATACGAAATGGGATGCTGGCCTGGAAGTGAACACGTTGCCTGCTTACTGTGATGCTACAGTCCAGTGAATCTGGATTTTTCTCCATCTCAAAAATCAAATCACATCATAATATTTTTTCTGATGTGGAAGCTAGCTATGTCTTAAACTTGGAAGTTGAAAGCTATTTTGCTACTAACACTTATTCAACTGTATAAACAGTTGGGTGAATGATGATTCTATCTTTTGAACTCGGATGGCTGTGTGACTTAGTGAAATTTACAAGCTTGAGCTAAAATTAAAAAAAAAAATCTAAGGTTAATATTTTTAGATAAAAGAATATAAAGCAACCGAAGTATGGTCAAAATTATTAAAGCACTCCACTAACTAATTCGTGTGAATAGAAACTGTTAAAACTACAACTATAAATATCTCATAAAAAAAATTGTTCCAATATTCAGTTTCATATGTTCCCATCAATATTCTAACATTTTTAAGCAACATCTTTAACAAAATTTTCATTAGACAATTGGTACCCATAAATTTGTATACCACAAGCAATAACTGAGGGAGCCCAAAGCAAACAAATTAACAAAAAAAAAAATTAAACCTGCAAAAAGAAAGTGGAATCGTCAACGTTTGGGAAACTGGAATAAAGTAATATTAAAAATCAAGCGAAGACGCAGGAATAGATTGATTAATATTTAACCCTCTTCATTTTATTTATTTATTATCATATTAGTAATTAAAATCAATAACTTAGTTAATTTGTTAAGTGAATAAATTATAAATTGAAAATTAAAAGAAATGAGAGATTTACAAGTGTGAAAATTTTATTTCTTATTTTATATAAATCTTTGGTTCATTTGATCTTAATTATTTGACTTAAATTAAAGATTCTTATAAATAGTAACAATAATTGTAAATGATATGTTTCTTATGAAATAATAAAATAAAAATAGACAATAATGTTTTGTCGGGACTAAAAATAACGGACAAAAGAGATGAGAAAAAGGAAACATGGAAAAAATGATTAAGTTGCAACTAAATTTAAAACGTTTAGCTCCTTTTTTATTTTTTATATATTTTCTTAAAAGTTTTATGATTTCAAATAATTAAAAAAGTTTGAGAAAACATAGATATTTCGTGAATCCATTATTATGATTTTATTGGGAAGATTAAAACTCGGAATGAGAAGATGCATGCACTTACCGTTAAATAAAAAAATAAATAATATAATATTTTGAAAATAAATAAATTGTGACCCAAACGTTGAATATAATAATTACAGTGTAGATTTTTTTTTAGTCTTTCTCCTGCATCAATATACTCTTACAGATACTCCTACCGGAAAGTCCAATTGTTCCCCAGCCCATGAAAACTTCATGTATGACCCAAAGTCAACAAGTGGACCAGCTAGAAAATCCCAGGCCTCCATCTCTAACTCTGTGGAAATCCAAAACCTCTTCACATAGACTATGTAGGTCCACTAAACAATCGGTATTTCACATCTGAACCCCAACATGTCCTCCTTGGAAAACAGTATTTCTCGAAGGCAATAAACAGGCAACCACATTACAAATTGATTCCAAATTAATTATTCTGAGTTATGTACCTATGTCTCCTCTCTTCTCAACATCAATCTAAACTTGGATTCATCAAAAGAAGCTGGAAGAACCTGTCACAAGTACAATGATTCCAAGTGTTCAACATGCAACAAGGATGAAAAAAGAAAAAGGAAAAAATCTAGACAAACCAATGAACGTAGAATGTCCCATATAAGCTCCTGTCATAACTCATAAGCGGCTTAGGAAGAACATTTCACAAGCAGTTGAGTTGACAACTTTCCTCAAACATTGAGTCAGGGCAAGAAGATTTTTTATCTGTTATAAACTAAAATGTTGAGCCAGATAAATTGAAAAATATCCAAAGCAGGTAGAGAGTGCTTGTCAAGGAGCCTATCATTAATGATCCATATATAATCCACATGAGAAAGAAGATAGATTCTTATCTTCAAGATGTATGCCATGAAAAATGTCGCTATATTGCATGTATGTTTCCTCCATGAACATTTCTGAACGAGTAGTGGTAGCTAAGCCACTCACACCTAGTTGTCCAATAGGTTAGTGATTTTGTACAGTACAGCATCTCTACAATCAGGGGCACTAGGCCGGCACTCGAGGGAAAGAAGGCAAAATTTGTTATCAGGATATATATAATTAATTCCACATTTTATCTTCCGATGGGGAACCCTTTGCAAGCAATATGTTCGGGGACTGATCCAGTTTGATATTTTTACTACTTCATCGAGAGCTTGAATACTTGTCAAATTTCTATTCTCTGTTGAGAAAAGTGGTCCTATATATAGTGCATTGGTTTGACCAAGAAACAGTTGCTAGCAAATGGGTCCTTCGTCTAACTCGATAAATGAGTAGGCAAGCACGAGACGCTCCACAACCCTTCCAAGTACAAAATGCTTCATATATATATATATATATATAGGACAAAATACTTTAGATTCTAAAACAGAAAAATTAAACACTCAAAAATATATAATGATACTCACAAAAGTATCTATTTAAAGATATTTAATAAAAATCATAATTTTAATTAATAAAGAATTTCAATTAAAAATAATAGTACTTTTTGATATAAATGTTGATCAAAATTGTATAAGAAAATGAATAATTCTTACAAAATATTATGACAGAACTTCAGAAGGATTAAAAACTGCTAATGGTGAAAGACTCAAAATAATATATAAAATATCAAATGCTGAAATACTTAATCAAGGAATCAAATTTAGAACCCCATTCATGGTAGTCAAAAACATAACTCAAGATATCATTTTAGGAACTCCTTTCATTTCCATATTAAAACTTTATAAAGTAAATCATGAAGCAATGAGTATAAAAATATTAAAAATAAAAATAAACTTTCCTTTTGTAGAAAAACCTAGAATCAAGAATCTTAATTTATTAAAATCATTATCAATTCATACAGATCAAATTAATTTATTAATAAACCACAAATAGTAACAAATTACCTACTCAAAAAAAGAAATTTCTTTTGAAAAAATAAATCAACAACTAAATATTAAGGAAGTCAAACAAAAAATTAAGAAAATCAAAACTAAAATTAAAGAAACAATTTGTTTTGATATATCAAATGCTTTCTGGGAAAGGAAAAAACACCAAGTTTCTTTACCCTATACAAAAGATTTTGATGAAAAATAAATTCCAACAAAAGCCAGAGCAACTCAAATGAACAAAGAAATGGAGAAATTTTGTAAAACAGAAATCCAAGATTTGTTGGACAAAAAATTAATTAGAAAAAGCACTTCACCATGGAGTTGTTCTACTTTCTATGTCATTAAAAATGTAGAAATAGAAAGAGGAACATCAAGATTAGTGATTAATTATAAATCATTAAACAAAG